GGACACGAGTTTAATTTCGCAGCTGCGAGCGAAATCGCGCACGCCGGCAACAAAACAGGCCTGGGCCTCGGATTAGAACGCAGTCAATCGGTTTACCGATCCTGCCCCTGCGTCCTGTAACTGTTTCTTGTCTTTCGTTTACGCCTTTTATCGCTGACAATGGACTCTAGAAAGAGCTGGAAAGCTCAGACAAGTAAAAGTTTGATTCCGGTGATCGCAACGCCTTCTACTTCTCCATTTACACGCATACATTGGATGCGAACATTTGCCTTAATACGCATCTCGTCACTATATCTAAACATGCGCGCTTGGATTGGTGTTTAGCGATCCTTTCAAGTGTTAAGAACTCAAAAACGATTCTAGGTGGCGTATTCCATTCTACATTCCAATATTTTTAACTGGGTCAGCCTCGTGTTACTTTAGATAGTACTACGCTTTTTGAAGGCTGCATGTCATCTACTATCGAACGCGCCCAGTCAGTTTTGTCTTGATGGTAGTATACAGTAAGAAGGATACAATTATAATACAGATACTACACAGACCAACAAACTATTCGTAAAAGAAAGAAGTCTAATAATGTTATGGTTGGTTTCGTCGTTCGGTACAGATGATGAAGAAAACATGCGCTGGACTCTAACCTGTACGCTAAATTTCACGCTGAAGCGCGAGGATATTATCCCGACAAAACTTTATTTTAGTTCCAAAAATATGGCAAATTTAAAAGGAGGCTTATTTTGATTCCACATATTCAAATATTTCTTCAGTTCAGTAGGCTATATCCCAAACACCGTTAAAGACGATTTCTATAAAAAAAATCAAGACCGAACACTTCGTGATCATAAAACTCAAACAGAGGTGTCGGCTATATTGGTCGTAAACGGATTTTGTAAGGTGCATAAGTTTCTATTGAAAATGTGTAAGCAAAAATGCAAATGGTCAGCCATGTCGTCGCCCGACTGTCCCGGCAACCAAAAGATTAGCCTCGCCTAGGAATCCCACATGTCAGGCAGCCAATTAAGATCCGCCAAGTTGGGCGCGATCAGTGGCTACACACGCGAACGTCTGCCTATGCGGCTCCTCGCAGTTCGTGCAACTGGAACACACAAAATGCAGACAACGGTATGAGTCTTAACTACGACACCGAAGAGAAGGACTGAAACACTGAAAGATTATATAGAATCAGTAACCCAGGTCCCCGAACATAATTATCATCTGGTCAGCCTTATTGCAATTTGCTGCAAAATTATGGAACAACATAAGCATTAATCAACAACCAATGCACTTCCTGGACCAGAACCATCTGCTTTCCAATGTCAAGCATAGCTTTCGTAGAAGTAGGTACTATGTGACCAAGTTGCCGCTCTGCATAGAACGTTGGACTGAAGGAGTCGAAAGAGGGCACACGGTGCATGCTGGCTATATTGACTTCAAGATGGCCTTCGATAGCGTGGCACACCATCGCCTTGGTTATAAAGTCAGCTGCATAGGAGTAGGAGGCGGGCTTGGATGCATACTTCTTAATTGGCCGCTCGCAAACTGCCCAGATCAGTGGCAAGCAGTAGCCAAGGGTTGCGGTTGAGCTTAGTGTTCGCCAAACGTTCCATTCTCGGCCCAATTTTACTCATTGTCCACAACAACGATTGTGTCAGCCAACTGAATTTCAATATGGCCATATTTGCCGATGATATTAGGCTCTGGCGCGTCATTCGAACTGCGGCTGCCGAAGAGAACTTGCAGGTTAATCTGAATCGGCTCAATAAAATGGTCAAAGGACTGGCTCTTACCAATTAATGAAAGCAAGTGCAACAGCATACGAGTCGGCAAATTCAGCTTCTCAAACAGCATAGTTAATGTGCTAAATGACATACTAATGAAAGAGATAGAAGCGCAGGAAAACTTGGCAGTCTGGATCATGCTCTCGCTTCAACCATCCCTGCATTGCACAAAGGTAGCCCAGTCTGCGATATCGGTTCTGTACGCGAGATTTTTCTGCCTTCAATGACGACCGCTTCACAATAGTCTTTAGAACCTTCGTAGGGCCGCTACTGGAATCCACTATCCGGGCTTGGAGACCGTGGGCCGCGAAAAATATCAACGTCCTCGAAAAGGATCAAAGGCGCGCAACCAAACTTGTTATTGGGCAGGGCGCACAGTCTTATGAAACACGGCTGTCGAATCTCAACCTCTTTCCATTACGATACGCGAAGCTTCGA